CCAGGATGGGGGAGATGGGAACAGTCCCAGGGCAGGGGGGCCTTGATCAGCTGCCCCAGAACTGCGACCAGGGCCTCCCAGCACAGCTGGAGCCACTCAGCCTGGGGTGCCCAAAGCCCTGAGCAACCCCCAGATCCCTCCCAGGAACCCTCAAATCCCTTGGACCCAGCATCCCCCACATCCCCTGGAAGATCCCCCCATGTTCCCATCAATGTCTCCGTTCAATGTCTTTATTTTTTTACTCCAGTTTTGGGTGTTTTGAAGGGACAAAGAGAAATGACAAGAAAACCCAGGCCATGGGGACCCAGGAGGATGTGGAGCCCGCAGGCAGGTGCCTTCCCAACACGGATCACTGGGCTCTGCCCACCGGGGGTCACTGGGGATCATCCAGCGTGGATCCTCCCGTGGGGCTTGGAGCTGGAGCAGCACAGGAAGCTCTTCCCGCACTCAGGACACTCTCAGGGCTTCTCTTAGCGGTGGCTCTGTTTGTGTTGGGTCGAGCTACAGCTGTGCCTGAAGGTCTTCCCACACTTGGGACACTGGTGTGCTGTGCTTGAGGAGATCCAAACTGCTCCGAGCCTTTTTCCCACACTCGGAACACTCGTGGGGCTGTTCCCCAGTGCGGCCCTTCTGGTGGGAGGTCAGAGTGGATCGAACACTGAAGCTCTTCCCACATTCCAAGCACGTGTAGGGCCGTTCTGTGGTGTGCACCCGCTGGTGGTAGAGGTGGGAGCTGTGCCTGTACCTCTTCCCACATTCCCTACACTCCCAGCGCCGCTGCCCCGTGTGCACCTGAAGGTGGGTGAGGAGCCTGAAGCTCTGTCTGAAGCTCTTTCCACATTCCAAGAACTTGTGGGGCTTCTCCTCATCTTGAAGTTGCTCCCAGCTCTGAGCTCCGGCCGCCTCCCCAGCCTCGGGTGTGTCTTTCCCCCTCAGATCCCTGTGATCTGTGTCTGCAGCCTCTCCTTGTGCCCGATGTCCGGGGCTTTTCCTCCCCGTTGGGTTCCTGTGCTGTGGAGCCGCTCAAAACAGGCTCTTCCACGAGGTTCTGCTGTGGGGATTTGTCCTCCCTGCTCTCCATCCTCAGCTCCTGGTCTGGGGGAGGAAGGACAAGGAGAGGATGGGATTTGCCTCCGTGCCACAGGGAAGGGCAAGGAGATCCCCCCAGTGCGTCCCCAGCAGGACAGCTTTGGCAGCAGGGTTGTCCTGCAGCCGGGGGCCGTGCTGGGCTGGGAGATGGAGCAGGAGAGAGGGGGAAAGGGGCACTGACTTCCTCCTCACCTGCATTAAGCTCCCGGGACATCTTCTTCTTCCTCGCAGCCTCCTCCTCCTTTTGCATTGGGCCAAGGTTTGGGAATGGCAAATCCTGGTTTGGGGATGAAAACAAGGGCTGGGGATTCCTCCTGCCCAAGCCCATGTCTAGAAGTCACAGGAGCAGGGATTGAGCTGGGAGAGACCGGGATGGGCAGTGTGGGGCTCTCAGCTTCTCCCATCTGATGGGGGCAGGGGGAATCCAACGTGGGGAAAAGGAGAGGCAAACTGGGAAAATTGTGGGTTGCAAATCCACACTTGGGCTTGGTGGGAACTCTGGGTAGAAAATTCCATCCCTTTGGGCTGATGCCCGAAATATAAGCTGGAAATAAATCCCCACAGAGCGGTGTTTTTAGATGTCACATGCTATGGTATATTCATGCAGTAGGTGTTGCTCAGTGTCACTGTGTCACTACAACATCATCACCTACCTGCAGGACTCACTTACATTGTATGAGCTCATGGGTATTAGATAGTTCTTCTGCAGTGCACTTGCACTTTCCTAATCTGGGGTCTGTCAGGAGTCTGTGATTGTCCTGGTTTTGCAGGGAGGGCATTTTAGGAAAGGCTTCCAAGGCTTTCTTCACATCTGAAGTTTTCAACTTGGTCTTTGGAGCATGTGCTGTTATGGTGTTCCTTGGTGTGTCTGGTCCTAACCAGCCTAAATTATTTGTTTTGTGGCTCATTGGCTTTGCACAATTTCTCATTAGTACTATCCCTATCTATCTCTGAAGCTCTCCACCTGGTGAGGTTTTTTTCTTCTTTTTTCTGTCTATTCAGCATTAAGCAAATAGTTAATCATAAAAAAGCCATTGCACTGTACAAAGTTATTTATATCAGGTTATATAGGCACAAAAAAAGGATGATTCAGGTTATCTAAGTATATTTATATAGATATATAAAAAGTCATGATTTAGGTTCTATTGATATCAGGTTATATAGATCTATCAGGTTATACTGATATAACTCAAGCTATATCATCACTTTGTAACTTTGATCTAAGTTCTGTCGGCATCAGGGCCCTTCCCAAAGGCCTGGAGGTGTTGGAGCAGGGACTACAAAGACAGGTGAGGGATCCCAGGAGTGAGATTTTGGGGATGGGATCCGTGGGGATGGGAATGTCCCGGGGCAGGGTCACACGTGAGCCAGGTGTGCAGGGCAGGACCTTGCCCTGACCCCAAGCACTGTCCCAGCTGCAGGATCTGCTTCCCATCAGCCTCTTCCTCCTGCGGCCCCAGGCCCAGCTTGGTGCTGAACAAAGGGGCTGGGCCGGCGTCATCCCCTGGTGGGGGCTGTGCACTCCCTGTGCCCCCTCCCCAAATTCCCTCTGGGGGGAGCAGGAGCTGGGGCAGGAGCCCTGTGGGGAGGGACAAGGGGGTGACACCAGGATGGGAGGGTCACACACAGCCCAGGGGGATCCCCCCTCACTCCCAGGGTGCCAGGAAGACAAACCCCTACATGAAGCCCCTGTCCCCCAGCAGCACCTTGTGGGCAGGGTCTGGTGGCAGCTCTGGGGGTCTGGGGGGTCATGACTGCCTAAAAGCCCCTCCCAGCCCCCTCAAACCACCCCACAGATCTCTGCTCACTCCCCAAACCACTCCATACAACAGAAATGGCCTCAAGATCCATCAAAACTCTTTTCCACCCCTCCAAAGACCCACCCAAATTCTTTCCAAGCTGCACAGCCCTTCCAGAACTCCCAAAACTCCGCCACAGACCCCTCAAAAGCCCCCTACACCCTCCTAGCACCAGAAATGCCCCCAAGAGCCACCAAAAGCCCCTTCCAATCCCCTCAGGATCCCCTAAATCTTTTCCCTGCCCCCCTGTGGCACTGACCAGGGGAGGTCTGTGGACAGGAACATCCACAGCTGGGAGCAGCTCAGGCACTTCATCACCGTTTTAGGCACTTCCATCCCTTTGGGCTCTTGCCAGAGGCCTGCAGATGTTGGAGAGGGGACTGCAGGGAGGGATGAGGGATGCCAAGGGTGGGGTTTTGGGCACAGGAGGAGGGGCTGTGTGAGCCACTTGCTGGGGTGTCCATCTGGAGGCCCCCCTGGTGGTCCCAGGCCCCAGGCTGCAGAGCTGTTACCACCTCCTACTTGGGGTGGTGGCTCTGGTGGCACCTCTGCTCCTTGGGGCTCTTCCTGCAGCCAGAGAACTTGGAGGGACCCTCCTCTGGCTGGGTCCTCCAGGCGTTCCATGAGCTTTGCTCCATGAGCTCCTACTGGAAGTGACTGGGCTCTCCTGGGATCATACGGAGATCATACTGGGAGTGACTGGGAATGACTCCAAGCATGCTGGGGCAACTGGGATATACTGGGAGTGTCTGTAACCCTATTGGGAGTGACAGAGACCACACTGGGAACAACAGGGACCATGCTGGGGACAACAGGGACCATGCTGGAGGCAACTGGGAGCAAGTGGGAGTGACTGGGTCTACACTGAGGGCAACTGGGCATGACTGGGACCCTGGTGGAAGAGACTGGGATCATACAGGGAGTGACTGGGACTATACTGGAGGCCACTGGAAGCAACAGGGAGCAATTGGAACCATGCTGAGGGCAACAGGAATCATACTGGGAGTGACTGGGCTCTGGGAAGCACAGGACGGTGAGGAGCAGGAGGACAGCTCCCATCCCAGCCCCACAGATAACCCCTATTGCTGTGGATCCCGCAGCCCCTGGCTCCCCCAGCTCAGCCCTGCTCTGGCTGTTCTGGACTTGCAGCAGCTCTGGGCCAGTGGGGGATGTGCTGGGTGCACTCACCAGGCTGGCTCTGGGACTCCCAATATTCTGGCTCAAATCTGGCCCTGCTCAAAGGGGGTCCCAGCCAGGTGCATGCAAAGGTGGGTGAGGAGGCTGGAGCACTGCCTGAAGCTCTTCCCACATTCCAAGCACTTGTAGGGCTTCTCCCTGCCATGAAGGTGCTCAGGAACCAACAGCTCCAAGCTGCATCCCGGCTGCTTTCCCAGCACAGGGTGGGTCTTTCCTCCTCATGGCTTCCTGGGCTGGGTTTGCAGCCCCTCTTCATGTGGGATCTCCGGGGCTTTTTGTCCCCATTGAATTCCTGCACTGTCAAGCCTCTCAGAACAGCCTCTTGCATGAGGTTCTGCTGTGGAGATTTGTCCTCCCTGGTCTCTGGCCTCAGCTCCTTTTATGGGGGAGGAAGGACAAGGAGAGAAAGGAACAAGAAAAAGGAAGGAAGTGGAGGAAGGAAGTGGCGGAAGGAAGGAAGTGGCGGAAGGGAGTGGCGGAAGGAAGGAAGTGGCGGAAGGAAGGAAGTGGCGGAAGGAAGGAAGTGGCGGAAGGAAGTGGCGGAAGGAAGGAAGTGGCGGAAGGAAGTGGCGGAAGGAAGTGGCGGATGGAAGTGGCGGAAGGAAGGAAGGAAGGAAGGAGGGAAGGAAGGAAGGAAGGGAGGGAGGAAGGATGGAAGGAAGGAAGGATAAAAGGAAGGAAGGAAGGAAGGAAGGAAGGAAGGAAGGAAGGAAGGAAGGAAGGAAGGAAGGAAGGAAGGAAGGAAGGAAGGAAGGAAGGAAGGAAGGAAGGAAGGAAGGAAGGAAGGAAGGAAATTTATTTTTGTGCCACAGGGAGAGATTTCTCCAATCCACTCCTGGCAGGATGGCGTTGGCAGTGGGGTTGTCCTGCTGGGCTGGGAGATGGAGCAGGAGAGAGGGGGAAAGGGGCACTGACTTCTTCCTCACCTGCCTGGGGCTGCCAGGGCATCTTCATCTTCCTCATGGTCTCCTCCTCCATCTGGTCAAACTTTGGGAACTGAAATTCCTTTTCTGGGGAATAAACAAGGTGTGAGTGTGTTGGCTTGGGTGTTCCTCCTGCCCAATTCCATCTCCAGAAGTCACCAGGTGTCTGGTGTCCATAAAAACCTCCAGACCAGCAAGGTTCAGCCACCCTCATAAAAACCCAAACCACCAGGATTCACCAAACAACCATTCACCCAGGAGTTCCCCGCTCTGGTCTCTCCACTTTGGGGTTCAGGGGTCCCTCCTGCCTGGCCTTCTGCAGCTCCAGTGTGTATTGGTGTCCCCTCTCTCTGGGCTGCAGGGGCTCCTGGCAATCCCAGAGGTTCCCTTCCCTGGGCTCCCAGGTGGGTGTCAGAGGGGCTCCAGGGGTACCAGCTGTGCAGGGTCCCCGTTTCAGGGCCCCGGGGTACCCATGGGTCTCTCTTGTCCATGGTCCCAACATCTCCTGCAGAGGGTCCCCCTTATCCGGGCTCCACGTTCCAGGCTCCCGGGGTCCCCCTTATCGGGATGTCCGACCCCGCAGGCTGCAGAGGCTCCTCCAGCTCCGGTGCCGCTGAGGCACTGCGGATTCTGCCGCAAGGCTGAATATTCAGCTCATGGAATCTTTGTTATCTCTGCTTACATGTGCAAAACCAGCTGCTGCTGAGACAATCCTAGCTCCGACTGAAGGTTTCCCACCCAAAATGCTGCATTCAGTTCTGACACACCATTAAGAAATCCCAGAGCAAAACTGAACACTGATTACAGAATCTTGCAAAATCCCATCCCAGAACATTTTGTCATAAAATCACAAATATTAACAGGTGCTGAGAAAGTCAGCAACATTACAAAACAAGCTTCCAACACTGGGACTAGAAGAGTTCAGGCAATGCATTTGATTGGAATGAGCCCTCTCTTTCTGACATGTGAGCAATGCCATCGAATTTCCCAAACCAGGGAAATGGGGAGCCCTGGCAGCAGCAGCTTCACACACAGCAATGACACAGAACAGGGCAGGGCAAGAGGCTGGAAAAATGATAACTTCTACTTGCAATTAAGAACTCTTGTTTCAAGTTCTACTAAAGACACTCTTAATATAGAGTCAAAAAGATTAAAAAATACTAGTAATAACTGTAATATTAAGAGCAAAAGTAGCCAAAATAGCAATAAAAAGAATGAATAATGGTAATAAAATCCTATCACACTTATACTAGGTTTGCATGGCTAGGTTTTGGTAAGAGGGGGCCCTAGGAGCACTTTCTGTGAGAGGATGATGGAAGCAGCTGCTCCTCCATGTCCCACAAAGGCAATTCCAGCCAGCTCCAGGACAGACCAGCCGCTGGCCAAGGCTGGGCCTGTTAGAAATGGTGGTAACACCTTTGGGATAAGAGATGTACGAAAATCGGTTATCATGTAGTTGTAGCTGTGACCAGGGTGAGAACGTGAGAGAGGAACAACTCTGCACACCCCAGGGCAGGGCAGGACAAGGGGCAGGAGCTGCTGCAGGGGCTGGAGCTGATTGCCCTGAAATTCCCTGGGGCAGCCCCTGGGGAGGCAGCTGAGCCCCTGCAGCCCATGGAGGGCACGGAGAGCAGAGATGCACCTGCAGCACCTGGAGGAGCCCGTGCTGGAGCAGGGGGTGTCTGAGCAGGGGCTGTGACTCCATGAGAAACCTGTGCTGGAGCAGGGACCAGGCAGGGGCCTGCAAACCCATGGAGAGAGGAGCCCACGCTGGAGCAGGGTCCTTCCATGTGAGCCCATGGGAGAGTGAGGCACGCTGCAGCAGTTTGTGAAGAGCTGCTGTCCCTGAGATGAACTCACCTTGGAGAAGTTCATGGAGAAGTGTCTCCAGGAGGGACCCCATGGTGCAGCAGGGGAACAACTCCTCTCCTTGAGCAGCAGGAGAAACAACAGGAATGAACTGAGCAGAACCCCCATTGTCTGTCTGCCTGCACCACTGGGGGAGGAGGCAGAGCTGGGAGGGAAGGGCAGAAGCTGTTTCTAAAACTTTATTTTACTTCTCACTATCCTGCTCTGATTGATAGTAATAAATTCAATTAATGTCTCTAATTTTGAACTGTTTTGCCCATGATAGCATTTGCTGAATGATCTGTCCCAGTCCTTAACCCATGAAGATTTCATTCTATTTTCTCTCTCCTCTCCATCTCTGGAAGGGAATGAAAGCAGCTTTGGTGGGCGCCTGACACCCATCTCTGCTCCTTGTGATGTCACAGGCCCATGAGTGTCCCAAGTGTGGGAAGAGCTTCTGCCAGAGCTCAGCCTTGACCCAACACCAATGGAGGCACCACTAAGGGCAGCCCTGTGAGTGCCCTGAGTGCGGGAAGAGCTCCGTGCACTGCTCCAGCTCCATCCCCCATGGGACAGTCCACGCCAGATGATCCCCAGTGACCCAAGGTGGGCAGAGCCCCGGTGATCCTTGGTGCTGGTGATCCATGTTGGGAAGACACCTGCCTGGGGGGCTCCAATTCTTCCTGGCTCCTGTACCCTTGATATTCTTTTAATTTCTCTTTGTCCTTTCAAAAAACCTAAAAACTGGGTAAAAATAAAGATGTTGAACCAAGGCAAGGATGGGGACATGGGGGAATCTTGCAGGGGATGTGGGGGATGCTGGGTTTGAGGGAGCTGAGGGTTCCTTGGAGGGACTTGGGGGTTGCTCAGGCCTTTGGGCACCCCAGGCCAAGCAGCTCCAGCTGCACTGGGAGATCCCGGTGGAGGTTCTGGGGCAGCTGATCAAGGAGTCCCTGGCCCAGGACTGTCCCCATGTCCCCCATCTCAGTTCCCGGTGTCCCCTGTGCAGGATCCCTCTCTCCCTCCCATTCCCATGTCACCCTGCTCTGGGACACGTTGTGCTCCCATCCCAGCGTGAATCCCACTCCCGGTCTCAATTTCTGTTTCTGTCCCACATTCCCTGTCCTGTTCCTACTCCTGGTCCCAATGCTCCTCTGAGATTTCCATTCCTATATTCCCTGTCCCGTTCCCATATTCCCATTCCTGGTCCCATTCCAGGTCCCTCTCCCATATTCCTGGTCCTAGTCCTGGTCCCTGTCCCCATTCATGTCCTTGTCCCCAGTCCCGTATTTCCTGTCCCTGTATCCATGCCCGATCCCAGTATTGGTCCCAGTCCCGTACTCCCGGTCCCATTCCCGAGGGCCGCCTCTCCCATGGGGCCCTGAGGGCTGCACAGCTCGGGCTGGCTGTGCCACACGAACCGTTCAGCCCCGCTGCTGTCCTTGGCCAGCTGCAGAGAGCACAAGGCTTTGGGCATTTCTCAGAGGCCCCCAGCTGGCCGGAGCAGCCCCTCCTGCCAGCAGCCGCTGTGCCTCAGAGCCCTCCCTCACGCTGGGGCCAGGCAGGGGCCATGGGCCTGGAGGAGGCTCCTGTTCTTGGGACAGGAGCGAGGCTGCAGCTCCCGCCTTTGGGCCCTGGGCCGCAGCAGCGCAGGGGAGGCCCAGCTGCAGAGCTCACAGCCCCTGCTGGCTTTCAGTGGGACACTTTGGAGCACCAATCCCCAGCCCATATTCTCTCTGCGGTTACTGTTTCCATGTTCCCCCTCCCGTTCCCATATTCTCCCCCTTGGTCCTTGTCTCCGTTTGTGGACTCTGTCCCCATCTCTGCTCCCATTTCTGGTCCCTATCCCCTTCCCCGGTCCTGCTCCCTGTCTCCATTCCCGCTCCCAGTCCGCATTTCCAGTCCCATTCACGCTCCCTGTTCCCATTTCCATTCCCTGTCCCCATTCCCGCTCCCTGTCCCCATTCCCGCTCCCTGTCCCCTCTCACCGGACGCCACCGCCATCGCTCCGGCCCCTCCCGGCCCTCACACAACCGAGCAAACTCCGCGCTGCTCCCGTCCACCAATCCCAGCGCGCGATCGCTCCTGTATTTCAATAACCACGCCTTCCATCGTGGTTCCGCCCAGCGCCGGCTGCAGCCGCCTCCGGGCGCTGTTTGCTCCCCGTTCCCTCCCAGTGCTCCTGGTAAGAGCGGGGCTGGTAGGGAAAGCGCTCCCAGTTCCTTCCCGCTCATCTCAGGATCGCTCCCGGTGCTCCCAGGATCGCTCCCAGTGCCGCGCCTGGGGCGGTTGTTTCGGAACCCGCCCAGGGCAGAGCGCGGCTGCTTTTGGGGGTCGGCACTGCCCGTGCCGGGCTGGGACGGAGGAGGAGCGGGAGGAAGAGGAGGGAGACCGGAACAAGAGAAGGAAGATGAGCATCCCAAACACCACGGGACTCCCCCGCCCGCACGCTCCGGCCGCAGCTCCCCCGGCTCCGGCTGCATCGCCCCCTCGGAACCCGCAGGTGAGCGGGGAGGGGGAGCCCCAAATCCATCGGCGGGGGCGGGGGGGGGCGCTCCGGGAGGATTTTTTTTGTGGGACAGGGGATGTTTGGGTCTTGCAGGACCCCAAAGCTGGTCCGGAAATGCCCCTGCAGGGATCTTGTGGGGGGTCCCACTTTGCGATCGCCCCGGACCGCCAGGGAGGAGGGGATGTCGGGTTTGGGGGTACCCGGGAGAGCCGGGACGAACGTGGGAGCCCCTGTTATGTTTGCCCAATTATCCCATCATCAGAAAACCCAAACAATATTAGAGGTAGGAGCAATTTTAATTGAATAGTTTAGAAAACATATAAAATTGGATACACTTGAAATATTGACAATATAATTTGATTAAAAGAAGGGATAATTTGGTTCCAATAATAGCGCATAAGTAAAAGATAACCGCAGGGTACGGAGTGCAGGGTTCTGCACCCTTGCCACCTCACGTACAAACTTGCCAAGTGAAGATTCCCCCCTTATATGCCATGTGTCAATGCCATCTCTTCCCATTTTCGATTCATCACGCTTCTACCTCCGCCCTCATCACCTTTACCGTGCAGGTTCCACCACTCGTTTTGGTGGTTGCACAAGTCTTTGGGGGTCATTTTTGATGAAGACCTCTCCTCTTCTTCGATGTCCTTCAACTCACCCCTGGCTTACACATGTGCCCCAAGCCATACGATGTAAGCCAAAAGTAACATACTATTACATTTAAGTATCAAAGCAATAAATCTCTTATAGCTGGCTTTTTCCTGAGACCCAACCAGATATTCCCTTCTTTCTGTTAATTTGTAGTAACTGTTATCTCTTGCTTTTTCCTGTCCTTGAACATCTGCAGGAAAGGGGTGGGGGGGTGGAACCCCTCCTCTCCTTTCTTTCTTGGCATTACAACTTTTAACTGTTTTATTGTTATTTTGAAATATTAATTACTGTATCAATATTGATTACTGTTTCAATTTTGTCAGCACGAATCATACCTATTTACCACAGCCCGGAGCGGGGAGAGCGCAGAGGGGCGGTCCCGGAGCCGGGGGACAAACCGGCTGCCTGGAGGGGTGCGGGAGGCTGGGGACGAGCAGGTTCCGGGCCCCCCTTGGCTGAAAGGGACGCTGACTTCTCCAGCTGCACTTGGGCAGCGGGAACATCAAACCCAACACACTCAACCTTGTTTTCCCCCTGTTATAAATGATCAACGAGAAAGCCAAATTTATAAATGGGAAAGATTTTATTTTTGCGACCAGAAATACGGTCCTCTAAAAGCCACAGTCAAAGAGAGCGTCGAACCCAGGGTCGGCTCTGGGTGAACCTGGACCCGACCTCTATCGCATCGGATCTCCCTGTGTTCACAAAAACCGTCTCTGATGGGGCTGTTTTTTACAGTTTTTTCTGCCCGAGTCAGAGGTGTCCCAATTTCTTGTCACCCCGCATAAGTATGAAGTTTCTTTTTACTGTGCAGGGCTGGACAATTGCTATTTCTTGGGCGGTGGCAGGTGCTGATCATGTCAGGAGAACTCATGTATTCAGATGTATTTTTTTGACTGTTACGCTGGCAGTTTATATACAGACACGAACAGGACGGGGCCACTGGAAACAGTGTCTTGAGCTTTTATTTTTCCAGCATCAATCTCATTACATTGTTATGACAATGGAGAGGAAAGATGCTACAGCTTGCTGGTCCAGCAGGCAGAAAGCCAAAGAAACTTAGTGTTACAACATACCATAAGACAGTCTCAATCTCAGTCTCAGCCAATCACATAGAGCAAAAGTATATTGACAGTAGTTCTGTCCAATAATCTGAAGCACACATAATTCTGGTTAAAACAATAGCGACCTATTCTCCATCACAATGGCTCGTTTATAAGAGACAAAGCACAGAGCTCTATTCATAATTAACCTTCTAAAATATACACTAAATAAACTTGTTGCAACTTAGAAGGCCCATCTACACAGCTCTTATTGTTCTACTTCCCATGTCTTCCCTACAGCTTAGAAAACTTTTCTGCTGCCTTAGCACTGTTCACAAATCTGCTGTCTGAGGCCTGTATTTAACCACCTTCCTAAAACCTTCTGATTTTTATGGATTCCCACATTTGACAACTTTGGTTATCTTTATTGATGATACTTATCAAGTACTGATGGTCCTGGGGTGTTCCCGGGTGGTTCCAGGGGAAGCTCATCTCTGCACCAGCCACGTTCTTTTATTTGATAAGGAGGCATCTTTTCCTGCTGCCACCAGGAGTTTCACAACTTTAGTGAGGTAATCTGTCTCTAGGTTGTCCATGGTCAGAGGCTCCTGTGCTGTTTAATTTATTTTACAATTTTATTTTTATACATTTTCCCCCTACACATGAATTACTTTACATTACATATTGCACCTCCACAACAGGATTTCCCATTCCCAAACCTTGGCCTGATGCAGGAGGAGGAGGAGGCTGTGAGGAAGATGGCCCGGGAGCCCCAGGCAGGTGAGGAGGAAGTCAGTGCCCCTTTCCCCCTCTCTCCTGCTCCATCTCCCAGCCCAGCACGGCCCCCGGCTGCAGGACAACCCTG